CGCCAGCGACGGAGCCGCCAGCGACGGAGCCGCCAGCGACGGAGCCGCCAGCGACGGAGCCGCCAGCCACAAGAGTGGGCAACGGGCGATGACTCATCACACGATCGATATCGGTTGGCAGGGGGAGATTAACCCTTTGACGACAATGCGGATTTGGATTTTTGACTTTACCAATAGACAAAATGTAACTACAGATGAGAGCTTTCATAGTACACATTGTTGGGAAACGAATTGAACGTTTGGAAGGCTAACTCGGATTTCAAAGGGATGGTGGTTAAAAACTCTAGAAGTTCATACGTACAAAAGTATTTTGATATAGTTCAAACTCCTCATTGTGTCTTAAAACTATGAAAAGACTTAGAGGTCCTGATCGCTAATTTACCTTAAATCGCTAATTTACCTTAAGCTTAATTATGTAAAAGACTAGTTATTATGTCGCCGAGCGAAGTGCCACATTCCAAAATTTCATACAAATTAGTAGTGTGATCGATCGATCGTGTGATGAGTCATCGCCCGTTGCCCACTCTTGTGGCTGGCGGCTCCGTCGCTGGCGGCTCCGTCGCTGGCGGCTCCGTCGCTGGTGTCCAGCGACGCAATCGCCGAGTCTGACCGAGGTCTCAGGGTAAAAACTTTACTTTTTACTAGCAAATTGTCTTCATGTTGTTCGTTGGCATTCGCAGGGTAATGAATCCACAGGTGCTGATTTCCTTAAAGTTAGGTCACTATCTGAATGTTCTCTCGCTTGCCTATAGTGGGAAATGAGTGTTCTGGTCGAGTGCTGACATTCAATTTCGCGTCTCAACTTTTTCTTCCAAATCCATCGAAGTCTCGCTCGCTGAATCGTCATATTTCGAAAATGACATCCATTTCGGCGCCATTTGTGTTCTTCTTCATAATAAAACTCCTAAGGGTAAAGCACAATGTGCAAGGACCTACGCACCACTGGCGACAACACCGCGGGCTCCCGGCTCAGAACGGGAGGTCTATAACCACACCAGAGCGACGCTGAGTGCGTGAAAACTAGTTTTCCTCAAAAACGCCTTTTGCTAATTTCGCCCCCCCCCCCAAAGGTCAGGTGGTTTTTTCTCTGTTTCAGCGTTCCAGGATATCTAATTTACCTAGGCCCTCCTTTCGAAGTTTCACGGGGATTTTTAAACTGTTCCCTTGTTGGAGTGTGTTCAATGTACAATCAATACAATCTTCCTTAAAAAGGCCCCATCCCCCTCTCCATCCCCCCTCCCTCAGTCTAATTGACTCAGGCAGCAGCGAATAGGAACGGCAGAGCGAGGTTGTAAAATTTTTGACCTCGGCCAGATACCACGGTTAGATTCGACTTCCACTACTTAAGAATCTGCCTCCTGTTCAAAAATACAATCCTTTTTCTCCAAATGTGACTTCCTTCCTTGAGACACGAAATACGACTTTCTTATTGGGTATTTTCAGCAGGTGGTCAACCCTGTCCTAGCCAAGTTGAGGTTCTATCCCCTCTAAAACTACGAACTATATATGAGTTTTTCC